TTTCACCAGAACAGAGGCTCATCCTTACATGTAATCCTCAGAATAACCTGCACTTAGACTCTGCTTTCGGTTTCAGTTCTGCAAAAGGCACACTCTGCAAACCTGCAATTTCCTGTCAGCCTGTGACTTAGTCTTTCTGAAAGACACACACACTGTTTAAACATCTGAATGCAATATCAATGCTGTAGATTATATTATTAGTGCAATGGTAATAATGATGATTATTAACAATAGCAGCAAAATAATTTCCCTGATCTCCACACTCCCTCTCCTAGGTCTCCTTTTAACCAGGCAGATTAAAAAATAAATTGCTACTCCTGAAGGTCCTCATAGCAGAACATCCATCACAGTTCTGAACAGATGTTTGCTGTCCTTACTGCCAGATGCATTCATAATAATTCAAACATTATGGTCAGGTGAGGATTACATCATTTGACCCTGCATACAGTTTTCTGCTGCTGGTACTATTACGCTTGTGTCTTTGTTCCTCTTTAATACAGGTCGCTGATGTTAATGAGAACTTTGAAAAACTTCTATCAAAGTATGACATCAGAGAGGATGAAGATTTACAGATCCAGCTGGAAGACAGGATGAAGGCTCTCCAAAATAAGCTGACATTACAATATTTTAATGAGTACCCCCACTTCTTCCGCACTTTATTATTGTCGGCTTTGGATCAGACTACTGGATATGTGCTGCTGTCTCTGACTGAGAGGTTCAACATCCTGGAGGCAGTGCTGAAGGTGACCTTAGAGGGTGACCCTGATTTTGAAGATCTCCTCCAAAATGGACAAGACAAGAAGACAGAGTTCCTCCTCAGTTTGCAGGAACAGCTACATGCTGACAACCCAACACTGGCCCAACAGGTGTTAGCAAATGTTCTGGATCTGTCCTCAAAGCTACCCCTATCAGGTAGGGAGATCGTCAGTCAAATAGTCTTCAACAACCTCTGGGCACCAAAAGACATCAAGCGTTTCCTTGGAAAGACCTTAAGCATGGATCAGGAAACAGTCACAAAAATCCTCCACAAAGCGTGCACGTACGGGCTGAGCTGTGACGACGCTCTCTCTGCCCTGAATGAAGACGATCCTGCAGAGTACATCCAATATTGTGTAGACAAAGCTGAGCGAGACAAAGATGCTTACACACTTTTGGCTGAAATGGAAAGCAAAAACTTTCCAGAGTGTGTCCCGTCACTCCTGCCAGAAGTCCTGACATATATTGAAGAAGAGCTACCCAAATATGGAAGTGTGCCCATCAACAGGGAGATGATTGAAGACTGTAAAAAGATAATAACTGCTCTCGATTTTAACAATCCTAAGATTGATGCTCTGAAGAAAGTCCTGATCATCGTATCCAGAGCTGTAAAGGAATGCACCGCCTTTACCACTCAAAGCGGTGAACATGTTCAGGGCTACTTCCCAAGACCCAGTCAGCTGGCATCACTGCTGCTACTCCTGCTGCCACAGTCTGGGGATAAGAAAGGTTGTCTGTTGGAAATCAGCACTGGAGAGGGCAAAACTTGTATTTTAGCCATGTTTGCTACAATACAGGCCACCCGAGGCATAAAGGTGGACATCGTGACAA